CCAAAGGGGTCTCAACCCACAGGTTGAGAACCGCTGCTCTAGTTCTTTAATGTGTTCCCCTACTCCCCCCACCCACCACTATCATGACCCAGTTCTACCTTCCAAATCTGGCTAGACTGGAGCACATACACTGGTACTGATAAGAGTTCTCGACACACGGAATCCAGAACAGATAAACCCCTCAGGAACAGCAATGGGAGTAGCAATACCATGTGGAGAAGGGGAAGGTAGGGGAAGGAGGAGAAGGAGGGATCCAATTGCAATGATCAGCATATAACCCACTCCACCCCACCACCTGAGCAGGATGAACAACAGAAACGTGGGTGAAGGGAGAGAGTGGACAGTGTAAGATTTGAAAATAACAATTCTTTATAATTTATCAAGGGTTCAGGAGGGTGGGAAGGTGGGAGGGTGGAGGAAGGAGGGATAAAAAGAGGAGCTGATACCAAGGGCTGAATGAGAAAGAAAATGTTTTGAGAATGATGATAGCAACATATATACAAATGTGTTTGATACAACTGATGTAAGAGCTATAAAGCACCCCCAATAAAATGATTTTTAAAAAAGAAAAAGAAAATGAAATTTTGGTATAGTTACAAAAGAAGACATAAAAAGTAGTTGTAATGTTCCAATTTATTTTTTTAAAAAATGTTTGTGCAGTGTCTCAGTAGAAAGGTATTATTGTGTGATAAGAGTTGTACGAGTCCCCAATAACATGATTTTTAAAAGTTATTATTGTTATATAAAACTGTCCCTTAGATAGTTACAGCAACAAGACACATTTCTTGTAGTTACAGCAACAACAAAAAGACATTTTCAGTTGAACATGTATCAGTCTACTAATAAGGGTAAAGCTGTACGTGTAATTGATTTTTTGAACTTTCTGATGCCGTCCAAGGAGCATTGGTGGCTCAGTGGGCTAAGCCGTGAGCTGCTAACTAAAAGGTGGGCATTTCAAACCCCCAGCCACAGGAGAAAAGACGTGGTAGTCCGTTTCCATAGAGATGGCGGCTGTAGAAACCCTGTAGAACTGCGTTGCTCTGAGCCAGTATCGGCTGGATGGCGGTGGCTTTGTTTCATTACGGAATATTGTAAAGTACCGTGGACTGCCAAAAGAACACAGCACATCTGTCTTGGAAGCAGTGCAGCCAGAACACTGCTAGAAGCAAGGATGGCAAGACATCATCTAACGTACTTTGGACCTGTTGTCAGGAGAGACTAGTCCCTGGAGAACTTCAGGCTTGGTAAAGTGAGAGGCAGCAAAAAGGAGATGGCATGACGCAGGGGCTGCAACAGTGGGCTCAGCGTCGGAACAATGGTGAGGGCGGCACAGGACTGGGTGGTGTGTTGTCCTGTGGTACACAGGGTGGCTAAGGGTGGGAACCGACGTGATGGCACCAAACAGCAAAATGCATTCAAGTCACAGCTGTCATTATGACCCAGGTACACTGATGCTCTGTGGTCCCCATTGCTGTCACAGCACACACTCTGTCGCTGCGTTGTTGGTTCTTAGTCGCTGATTTTGTAAAGTTTTCTGGGGTTTTAGCGATGAGTATCTGTGAACCTATATCAAAAACTTTTTTTTTGAGAATGAAGTAATTAAAGGAGAAAAAAAAAATTTTAAGGCTTCCGCCTGAGTTTCTAATACTGTAAATAATAATGCAATTCAGTGTAGAAAGCTTTTACAAAACATTTTCCCGTTCGTATTCAAATAATCTAAGAACTATTTCATTTAAGCAATTTACAGTGATATTGAGCACCTGTTATTCTACGATTAAGATGTATAACAAGTATGATTATGGATTCCGCAGGGGAGGAGGGCTGTAGAGGGAGCAGGGGGTGGGCGGCACCCCACGAGGTGAAACCCACCCAAGTGCCCCCACAGTCGACAAGGCCAGCTCACCAAAATGCACGCATGTTC